TACAAAGTCTTATTGTTTCTCTCTCTCTTTCACTATTATGCGACAATTTCCTGTAAATGCCTTCAAAAATGACTTCATCTGCCAACAATGCTGGCCGCAGCACAGCTATGTCTGCCAGATCAAATAATTAATATAGCAGTAGGGATAAGCGTGCTGCCAATAATTGAACTCGACGCTCGCTTGATTTCACACGAATCAACACCTATTCACATGTTACTCCATCTTTGTTATATTTGAAGGAGGTTCACTTGTTATTAAAAATACTGTCTGTGTTCGTACCGCGCATGTGTCTCATGCAATACCAAAGACCGACTAAATTCTCGCTTTGATCCGTTCGCTTGTATATAAATGCTGCCAGTACAGGTATAAGACGGACGCACTGATATTTTGGGAATACTATACCTGCTTTCAACTCCGTACAAGAGCCTCGGTCAAGCCGCCAGTGGCGTTAGAAAAACCGTACTGCAGATCGTCTCGGCGCATAATGAGCGTCCGAGAGCGCCGTGATTTCCTGTTCGACAAAGCATTTATTACCCGCTTAATGGCTGTCGGAATCAAACACTCACGCGCGTTCTCGTACCCCATTTATGAACGCCGAGAATTTCTCAGTCAATTTGTTATTTTCCGCGTGCACAAGCTCGGTTACTTAACACAACAGTTTGTTTTATAACAAGTGTAACTGCTTCAATAAAACAAGATGAAGTAGAACTGGTGTAATATTTATTTGTTGTCTTCGTGTGAAAGTCATGCGATGCGTCGACGATTTGCAGCACGTTTCCTACTATATTTATTTCTGTGTCAGTGATCAGCAGCTAGTCGGGGCCAGCGTGTGTTGAGATGAGCATTTGGACAAGTCATTTTACAGGAAATTCAGGCAATAATAGTGTGAATGGCAGTAGATACATTAAACTTTAGTTAGGAAATATATTTCGTATATTAGCTGATCTGACGTAGTGTCAGATGCAGTTGGTTAGAGATCGCATGAGTGTCCGATGACTCCGTGCTGTGCCGTTCGTGCTGCATCAACATTGGGCAAAAATTCTAAACTGGCTCGAAGTACCGGTTCGAAAGTCGGACTAAGGGAGGTATCAAAAACGAGTTTGGGATGTCGAAAGTGAGGGGTCAAGGTCAAAGTCATAGAGGTGTAAGAAGATAAGGGGGAAATCCTCCTTAACTTTAAGGTTATAGGATGTATAATGCAGAATTGCGGCCACAATCTGAACGGCATCACCTATGTATTATATTCCGTGTATAGACAATGGATGGGCAGGAAACCATCCACCAGTGCAGAATTGGAGGTCACAGGTCACAAACACCGCAGTGGGGAAAGTCAGATATCATAATTTTCTGATGACATGCCTAATGACAAGTGAAATCATTGTTTATAAATTTATTGAATAAACCATAATGGCTTTCCACTGACGCATAGCGAAGAGTAATGTTGTACCTTTGACATCAGAGAAGTTTAAACTTGATTTTTGCACTGCTTCAATGATGTCACGAGGTTCTACATATTCATGCACACCATAATCTGGAAACCAATATGTCTGGACTAGTCACTAAGCGTACTACAGAAGCATTACGCTCAAAGTCTTGGATCGCGAACCATCAATTATTTATTATTTATACTGTTTTCTGACTATTTTATCTATCTTTATCATTTAACTATATTCTTTAAATTTAATCTGCAAAATTGTTATTCGCTAACATTTTTATTTTTACAACAATTCATACAACAAATAATTTTATAAACTTAATTATTATTTTTTCAATAGGGTTTAGGCAAGGCTCGACCACTTAACTTTTTTTTTTCCAGTGGCCCGAAGGCCACCAAAATCATTACTCTCTCTAAATTTTTGTATGGCACGAAATGAAAAATCTAGTCAATGGCAACGGAAAATAAACAAAGAAAAACATTAAATCTTTATTTCAAACTCGTATTTGTATATTATTTTGGAATTGCGGCGTCGTCTGATGCACTTGCATCAAAGTTCTCTTTAAAACAAACCCACAACAATGGCAACACTGCATTTTGAAATGCATTGAGGATACATTAATTTTATCATTCCACTAGGCATCACATTTTCAACCAAGAACCGAATTGTCTGGTCGCTTGCAGTTACATGTATCACATTGCTTGGCTACGTCTTGCACCCAAAAGTATTCTTATGCGCTGCGCCGCTCAAGATTTCTTACCTCTGACCTAAGAATCGTTCGCGGCCCGAACCTGTCTTCTGTTCCGTGCTCATCACGTGTTTTCTCTTGTCTAGCCGATCGTTAAGGCCGGATACTGTCTAACAAGATAAGGGCTGTTGCGCCGCAGTAGACGTGAATAAAATCGTGCGCCGTGTATGCCCGCTGGTAGAATTGTCTGACTTGCGTACGTGTGCCTCGCTCCGCGAATTGCAAGCTCGCTCTCTTATTGAATGAGATATAGCAGTAAGAAACGATTATTTTTTATCCTATGACATCTTTGAAATTTTAATCGTTGCCGTCGGCCTCCAAATTTTATTTTGGAAATTTTGGTGGCCCGAATCGAGTTTTGGTGGCCGGCACCGTTCACGCTGCATGTCTGAGCCTTGCATATTGACACTTTGAATTTTAGTGCCGTTCGGCTCCAATTTTACTTTTTTTAGAATTTTGTTGCGACATCGATTTTTTGGTGGCACGGCACGGGCACCATCGCTAGGTAGAGCTTGTGTTAGGTTATATTAGGCATCCACAATGCTCACCATTAAAACAGGAGTTTAGCATGCATTTAGATATCGACAATTGGATTTATGAGGTATGCAGAATGCAGAAGGTTGTGAAATGACCCACAAAGGCCATAACCCCCCCATGTGTAGCAACGTTGTTCTGCATAGTCTCTGCTACTCCGAAGCACGCAGACCCGTATGGGGTCTCGGCACGCTGTTTATTTTCAATCATATGAAGCCCTTCCAGTTATGGAGGTGCACTTATAGTAATTATAATGCGCTTCTGACCTTACTCGATATATACATCGATTGGTTGAATCTTACTTTAATCTTCTGAACTTGAATCATTAATCTTACGTGGCAATGCACGCATGATTCCTCTAGGTAGCGGCCACAAAATAACAATATTCAGTTGTTTACCTACTTTAATTATAAAGCAATAAATCCAAAGAAAATTGTCGTCTTCATTCACATTTCGCTCAATGAAAATACCTTCCGGATTTACTTAGGCTATTCACGTTTCCACATGGAGACATGGTAGGTATCTTTAGTCGCGCAGTCAGCTGCACTTATTTCGTCAGTCACCAATCACCGAAATCACTAATACCGGAAGTGATCTTCATTTCCGATATCGAAAGGATCACGTCCCAATATGGCCACCAAAATATCGAAGGTTACTCTTATAGGGATGAATTATTGCATAAACAAATTATGAAGACGCGTAGATTAAAGTTTTGGAAGCCTATAATGACAAACGTAAGTTGTACTTGATATTTTTGAGGTCAATCTATACCGCCGTAACGCCCTCATCGTGCTAATGTGATTTACCTATCCAATTCCCACAAACAAAAATTCGCAACAATTTTTTAAAGGTGATACGCATAACAGATGAAACCCGCCCACCCTCAGTTTAGCATAGGCGAGTTATAACGAATCTGTCAGTGCGGACAAATCTGCTATAAAAAGTCTCATACGACACAGATTAATGTTAGTTAATAACGCTAGCAACATGATCCTCAATGAGCCAGATGCTTCTTGCGGCTTCTTGTTTAGTATAATATTTTATTGAATGATCAGTGCTGTTGCTATGGGCTCGGTCATATTAGTCTATGCTAAATTTTCTGGATGAAACCGACAGTCCAGCGTCTACGTTTTAATTCTATAAATTGTCCTGGCTCATCATCGCCCATAGATTCCGAAGCGCTCGCTCCACGCTCAGCGGTCGAACATGTCGTCGGTTTCTAGAGCAGAATGGACAGCTGATCGGCGTTTAAATTAGAATTCCCGCACTATGCATGTAGTCCACATGTAGTAAATAGATTTCGTATTTATTTAGCATTATATTTTATTGAAACGCTCCAACTCCAAGTGCCTATGGCTATAAATATGCCCGCAGCAGCGTGTGCGCGAGCTACAGGCGAGTGGTGCCGGGGAAATTGTGCACACGAGCAAAACAATACCAGCTGATTGCAACGTTCAGTATTTGGCAACCGGACTATAAATACATAAATTCATAAAACTGACAACTCACCACAGCGTCCGGACGGGACTAACAAGTAATGTATTGCTCTGATGACCAACCTTCAGAGAATTATAATTTACAGTAACACATGTACACAGGTAAGACTGAATTGCAGGAGTGTGGGTAGATACAATTTGAATATTGTGAATAACGTAACACAGTCTCAGACAATTTAAGGCGCTAGGCCCTACTCTTGTTGGTTTGCATATTTCATTATTTGTACTTGTAACCCATATCACTATCAAATTACATTTACCTTCCATGTTGATTTTCCTTTCCGCGGAAAGCTAATGCCCTCATAATTTCGCTTTCATCGGAATTTACTTTGATTCTTGTGCCTGGTACCACCAGAGGCAGAGCCACTAACGCACTTGACTCCGACTCGTTGCCATACGCCGTGAAAATGTCAATATTAAACATGGTTGCAGCAGGTCACTCTATTCTCGAAACGAAAGGCAGTGTAACTATAAGTACCGACATGTATCGGTGTTTAGAAGGTATCGATTTGAAGAAATGATGAAGTACAATGTATTTCATCTGAAATTAAGACAAATCTGGTTTATGCATGTCTTCGAATAATAACAGAAAATGGTACTTTTTTCATTATGGTAGTCTCTAGTCTTGATGTATATTATAATATTGTTTTCGGGTACAGTCAGTGAGTCATAGGTACAGTAGTCAGTAGCAAGTCTCGCAGTGTCACGTCCAATTCTCGCAATTTACCGCGTGATCAAAAACATGTCAGCCACCATGTGTGCCTTCGTTTTTTGTAAATAAGGCGTCGGAGTGTCTTCGTTTGTGTAGATCAGCCTAAAACTACACAATTAAATATTGTTGTCATACTCGTGATATAATCCTTCATGGCTCACATCAGAGAATTAGAAGGCGTGATGCACGGACCTCGCATTCTTAGGTAAAACAACTACACCTCTGAAAGTTGTGTTTAGAGGATAGCATTAGCAGTGCCAGACTGGATTATGGATACTTTATTACTTAACCCACTGGCAGCAAGAACAGTTCGGCACCTGCAGCTACAGCACACACGCGGCCATTGACTATATATAACAACTATATTGAGAGAGAAAGAGGCAGAAAGAGAGAGAGAACGAGGGAGAGTGAGTGTGCACGAGCGAGAGAGAGAGCGTGAAGGGAAGAGAGAGCGAGAGAGAGAGAAAGAGAAAGAAAGAGAGAGACAACGAGGGAGAGTGAGTGTGCCAAAAAAAAATCCTAGCAATATCTGAAAACAGTCACTATGTATGCACCAAATTGCAGCATAATTTCAAGTTATAAAATGCAAAGCTCCCGTACCGGGGAGGGGGGAAACGGCACACTTCCCCCCCTCGTTTGCTTTCGGTCAGCCTCGCATCTCACTCTCAGCCTATGCACCTCAACATGTTGGGCCAGCTCTGACATAGATTGTGTAGAATAAGGTGTAGAAGAGACGAACTTAAATAGACACAAAATCCGCTCTCTTGCTTCTCTCATCTCTCTGCTCTCTCTCCTCTTCCCGCTCGGCGCTCTCATCTCTCCTATCTCTCTTCCGTCTCTCTCCGTCTCTCCGTCTCTCATCTCTGCTCTCTCTCTCTGCTCTGCTTCCCCCTCGCGCTTATCTCTGCTCTCCCTCTCTCGCCTCTCTCTCTCGATCGCTCTCTCTCTCTCTCGCTCACGACCGATGACTGTCTCACTTTCGCCCTGCATTTGTCCGCTCTCTTCTTTTTCTCTTTTCTCTACTAGCTCGTGCTCGTCGCTCAGCTCACAATTCACTGCTCCGCTCATTGTCTGCTGCTCTTTCTTATCTCTTCTCTCTCGTCCCTATCTCTCTCTTCTCTTTCGCCGTTCACACTCTCTCTCCCCTCCCTGCCGCATCTCTCTCTCTCTCTCTGTCTGCTCCTCTCTCCTCGTGTTCGTCGCCATCCGGGGTGCTCCCGCACATCCCTCCCTCTCTCTCTCTCTCTCGCCTCCTCTTCCGTCGCTCTCACACTTCACTCTCCCTCGTTGTCATCTCTCCTTTCTCCTCCTCCTCTCTCTTCTCTCTCCTAAT